TGAATCTCTCACATCAACTGTGTGTCCTGGAAGTATAATGAGCATCAGTAAGTTTGAAGAATGACAGTAACGTGGAAGGACAGATGACAAATGAGACGATAAATGCTAATGTTTGCATGCTAATATCCAACATTCTGTTTGATAATAATATTTTCTCATTATAATTTTTTATAAACCATAGTTGTTATTTTATTTTATTTTTCCAAAAGCTCACCAGGAGGGCATATTGGTTTTTTTCCTTGACCAGTGCTGCACCCTGTTGGCTAAGGTGCATACAGCAGTTTGTCATGTTAAAAAAACAAACAAAAAAGAAAACCCAGATGTTAACACTAAGAAGTTGGTTGATTAAACTAAGACTAAATACGAAAAACAACAACAGGTCACATGCTCTTTTCAGGTGTGGATGAGTTCAAAACCAAAGCAAAGGTCAATTAAAAAAATGAATATTAAACAAGAAATGTCTTTATTAATTACTCATGAGAAAACTGTGTGTAATGTGTTTGATACAGCTACATCTCACCAATATCTGGCACTGCAGCCCACACCCTTGAACACTGACAGACACTGTGAGTGTTTTCAGGGTGTGGACTTGCCCAAACATGCCTGTGACACATCAGTGTGATCTAAGAAAGCATGTCCAAAGTACACTGCAAAATTTCGAAATCAGAAGCAGTGGCATAGAGCTCCTTCCAGGGATCGCCGTAGTGAATCATCTGCCTCCATCTCACCCTATCCCCTGGCTCTTCTAGTGTTATACTAACTATCTCCATATCCCATTTCACGACAGCCATACATCTTCTCCAGGGTCTTCATCTTTCGCAAAAGCCTGGCTGATTAATTTCGCTGCTCTCTTCGTCACACATCAACCTGACACTCCTCCATTCATCATGCTTACACCCTCTTCTCTCTTCTCTTTTGGGTGATTTTCACATCCATTACTTACTATAGATGTTGTTGAAAAAATATAGTAAAACTGGCTGAAATAAATTTGCCATTTTGCCATTATCTCTTGCTGCTTGATAGTCAGACCTGAGGTATTAGCTCCTGAGAGTGCTGCTCAGTCAGATGCTGTTTCCTCTAGCTTCATAGTTTATCATTATGAAGTTTTTTCTCTGTCATCAGCATCAATCAAAATTAGGTCACATCCTCCCTACTGATCTGACGGAATCTCTGTGGCTACCTTCTTTTTTTTCTTTTTTTTTTTGAAAAAAAAAAAAAAAAGGTTCCAAAAACGTCATTCTCTTTATGATCCAATCAGACACAACAGGTTGGAGGAGAGTTGTTTCATAAGACAAGGAAACAAAGAAACAAACAGTTCTAAAAGAGCTCTGACCTCATGTGGGGAACTGCACTGACAACGGCAGGCCGCAAAATGAGAGAGAGAGAGTTAAACCCGAAAACCACGTTCAGGAGGTTATTTACTCTGAAGACGCTCAGATGTCAGGACGGCCGCTGGTGCTTTGTAGTGCATGTGACAAGAAAGGGGAGTCGCCGGAGATGTCCACCCGGACCATCTCTCCTTGTCTCTTCATTCTTGCCTACACCGGCAAATGAGAATATTAGCACCACTCCAGGGAGAGTTCCGTCATCATGGCGTCAAATGCCAGCCACATGTTGGAGAATGCCCTGCAGCAAATGGACGACATCATCGCTGGTAAGAGATGCTGCCTCGTTATCTGAATTTCAATCGTTGCCTGCCCAGTTTGTAATTGCAGGCCATTGAAAACCAGAGCAGCCCACATGGATTTACTTGGGCACACACACCGCCACACACACACCCTCTTTCTCTATTCAATACGAATAGCATCGTGGGTACAGGAACTCAGAGTGGTACATTAGTCTTCGGGTGACTGTGCTCTCCTTATCTTCTATAAATGAGTCTGATTCATTAGTAATTTATGCACAGAATCTTTATTCTTTAGGTGGAATTAAACAGTGACCTTTTCCAACTGCCTCTTCAATGAGCCTTCTTTAATTCCGTTCCTTTTACCTGGCACATTAGTCCGTTCAATCAAGGACTGACGTTTCTGAGATTGCTGCTTATTTATTAATGACTTGTTCAACAAAAAAGCCTTTTAATTTGGGGCTTTTTGGAAACATTTTTTTTTTACTGTATCGATTTTTTAATCACTTAAAATCATAAAATAATGAGTTTCATCCAGATCAATCAAATTGCTTGTTTGGGTTTGTGTTGAAAATTTTGAAATATTTGTGCATTACCAAAGAGCTATACAAATTGAACAAATGAGACATAAAACGTATTTGCTAACTAAAAAATAAGACCCCCCTGCAGGTCCCTAGAGTACCTCTGTGCTAAAGCATTGGCTCTTCCATATTTTCGAGCAGAGGTGACACATTTCTTCGCTGATGTTTGTCACATGTACAGCTGTGTTTTGGCACAGGGTCAGGGGGAGCGGTTCTAATAATAGAGGTGACAGTGAAGCCGTTAGTTTACCGTGCTGGGACATTGACAGGAAATACTCAGGACAGATAAGACACACACTCACACACAGGTTAATGTATGTTTCAATTACTCACACAGTTAAATGCACGTCTACACAGTCTGAATGACTGTGCCTTTTTTTATCTTAAAACTTTGTACACAGGATAAGAATTCTCTCTTTCCGGTACTGAGACGTGATGATTACAGAAACCTACAAGGTGAAGCCTCTAATTTGTGGATTTCAGTAGCTACAGTTTACAGAAGCTGGTCATTTGATGCTATTTCAGTCCGGAAAACCACACATGATGCTCAATAGCACCCTCAAGAGGTGATAGGAGGAAACTTTTTTTTAACTTTTTTTAACGTTTCTGATTCTGTGATCTTTGTCTTGTTTAGGGAAACGATACGAAAGGCTGTTAGGCCAGAACTATCAGACCACAGAGGGTACGGCACAGCAGACCCTGCCCCCACCTCTGGACCCTGCCCTCAGGACTCTTCAGCTGATTGAGGGCCTCAGGGCAGCGTTAGAGGCCGAATGGAGCGAGGAGGAGAAGCTCGCTCTGAGGGAACGAGTATCTGCTGACACAGCAAGTGTGATTCTAAAGTGGATTGATAGAAACCAGGTGAGATCTGGGAATATTCAGCCCTGGGACTTTTCTGCAAAAACAGATAAGGTTCAGTTACCGCTACAGAGCTGCTTCTAGAACAGCTACAACACAGATTTAAAAAGCATTTTAATTTAATAAATTCTCTTTGTCAGCTTGATAATAACCAATGTTTAAAAAAAAAACAAAAAAAGAAACAAACATTTTTTAAACAGTTGGGAAACTGCTTTGGCTCAGTGCTGACCTCGTATCAACACAGAACTCAAAAGGGAAAGCTGCCAGAAACTAAATTATACATGAAGCCCCAGCAGGGAAACCAGCTCACTGTAAGACATGGGAGAAAGAAAAAAAAATGGAGAAAGCAGTTTTGCAAGTTGCAAAATGATTGAAACAGAATATTAATGTTTGCATTTGTAGAAAAATAAACTCCTTCATTTTTAGACGTTTCATCTTTATATGAATGAAAACAACTACGTGAAATATATACTGTAGAAGGGCTGTCAAAATGAATGTGTTATATTCACTGAAGCACTTTGAGCTTAAAATACCATCTCAACTCCCAGGGTGTGTTAGAATATTGGAGACTTCTGTTTCAGGTCAGACACCTGGCTCTTGTCTACGACTGCGAGGCAGACTGAATATTGTTAAGGACAAAGGCTTCACCAAAGTTCTGAGTAAAATCCACCAACTTAATGAGGCAACATTTTGAGTTTCTGCCATATTTAGGAATGTAGATTAATCCTGATTATTTAGGATTAATCAGAATTAATCCAAATCCACAGCCACCCTGTGATTAATCAGATTGAAATTCTTATTGTTTGGCAGCCCTAGTAACACTAAGGGGGTGCAGCCCATAAAATGCAGCTTTATTTAATTTTACTTGCTTTCTCTTCAAAACATTGTCACGTTCACATCTTTCTACTAGGCTAAGCTAAAAGCAAAGAGGCATGATCTAACCCAGGTGTGGGCAAACTTTGGCCACTATGGGTCCTGAAATTTGACGGGGTGCTGGGTCTGGAGCAGATAGATGGAGCGTTCGTATGAACTAAAACAAATGACATGGAAAAGTCAGTCAGTAAAGGCTAAAATGCTAAAATGCTTTTAACCTTTTTAATGGCATCAATTGAGGAAATTCAGGCGTTGCAGGGGAAAGGCAGAAATATAATAACAATAGAAATGAATAACATAATTTGGACAGGTTTGGTGGGCCGGATTAAAAAGCCAAACGGGCTGCATCTGGCCCCCGGGCCATAGCCTGCCCTGATCTAGCCTTACTTAAAGACCAGGTTTTTTCCTCTTAAATTATAATGAAACCCCGACCTGTGAACAGTTTTACTGCTAATTATTTAACCTATTACCCAGGACTGTGAAGCCTGAACCTTCATCTTTTTCCTCACAGTGTTTGAAGTCAGTCGGGGGTTTTCAACCTCAAAAATCCTTCGATTCACAAATCAATCATCTTGTCAGTGAAAACACTAAATATATTTTCTTTGCTTTTTCGTCTTTGTTCAGGAGTTGCAGTTGATCCACTTATTTTTAGGCAGTGAGTTAACTTTTTCCAAAATATGGGGCGTGTGCTCGAATCTGGAGATTGGTTATTTGTCTTTGAAGTTGATCAACATCTGGAGCGCTTTCTCCTGTCTGTTACAGCCCGCTGAGCTAGAAGCTAAATGTATTGCACTGGTAATGAGATCCAGAGCTCCTGTTTATCCTGCAGGCAGCTGCCCCCCTTTTTACTATCTCCCCCTCCTCATTTCCTTAACATATGGATCTTTGCATTACTCCTGCTCCCCCCCCCCAACTCCCCCTTCTTTCAAACTCTGAAGTTAATTTACACTGACTTCTTCCATGTATATTTCTCCGTTCCCTCCTCCTCCTCATCCCACTTTCATTTGGTGCTGTTTGGATTTTTTTTTTTTTGCTTCACCACATCTGACAAGCATGTGCTGTAAAAAGTTTTTTCTCCCCCGGTGCCCCTTTAGGAAGCCTCACATAATCAGCTTCGGTTCGAGGTACTTTAGAGAGAGCAGGGTTGAGGGTAGAGGCAGTCACAGAGAGAGAGAGGTCCAGCAGAAAGAACAGGGGAGTCAAGAGGTGCAGAAAAACACGCAGAGTTGTGGTAAATATTAAAGAAGTTTGTGCTTGAGAAAAAATGGGAGTCCAGCCAACTGGCATAGTCTAAGTTCTCCAGCTAAGCTCTAAAAAGTCGGAGACAGCCCAGACTTCAACCCACACGGACTCGAGTCTCCTCTGAACACTGTCGGCTGCAGTATGGCTTCTCTGTAGGGGAGCTGCATTCAGGGAGACGGTGTCTTTTGGACATCTTATCGCCATCTGTGGGACCTTAATTGCACAGGCTCCACAGTGCTGCTGGTTTGCAAATATTAAGACTCATAGCTGCTGTACAATGGCCTGGCACCATGGAGTGTGAGATTGATTTCTACAAACATTTTGCCTGGCTCAGAAAGGTAAGACAGTTTTGCATGCAAACCCCTTTGTGCCACGGTAATTACACAGAGCCGTGCTGTGTTTGTGTGCTCCAGCAGAGTCGCTGCCTTTACAACATAATTACAGTTGTTGCGGTGGTTGATTCTGGAGGACGACTTGTTTTGTTTGTGAGTTAAAGAGTCTTGCTGCAGAATATGAAAACAACCCTGTGGACTGACACATTATTGACTATTGATTATGTGCCACCAGCTTCACACCTCAGGTCAGAGGTGCAGTAGGTGGTGCTGCTCCATCAGGTTTAGATGAAGCCACTGAATGGATTTGTTCAAAGACAGTCCTGCGGGGCAGCAGTGGTACTTGTAAAGTTATATGTGGTCACTGTCTGTTTTTTTTTTTAGTCAAAACAAACAAATTATTAATGAATGAATAAATTAAGTCCATCATTTGGTTAGGTATTGTTGTGAAATTATTTTTACATTTAAACCTATTGTAGGTACTGATATGATAAATCTTTAGCTGATTGAAGGAATGCATCAGTAGAATTATTTTAACAGTATTTCTGGGTAACCGGCAACATTTTTGACATATGTTTTGCTACATTTCACATATTTGTTGACTGACTTCTCTTTAATTTATCACCACAGTTTACAAGTTACTCCCAGCGTTGATTTCAGGTTCAGTAACATCTAGTCCTTGGGAAGGATTTTGTGTCCTTTCCTGTGTTTGATTCCTGTCCTTGATTTATGACCTGATTTATTTAATGCATTGTTTCCCAAATACTGGGTCGCAACCCTCAGGTGGGTCGCAAGAGATTTTTTTCTGGGTCATCTCACATTATGTTTCCCAGGAGTTTACGAATATTGTCTGCGAAGGTTTGTGACTTCTAAAATATGGGTCCCCAGAAAAAAAGTTTGGGAAACACCGATTTAATGGACAGTAACATATGATTAAATTCCTTAAGTAGAAATCAGACGACACTATTTTAACAATTTCTCATGTAAAATCAGACGACACTATTTTAACAATTTCACATGTAACTCTTACTCTCTTACTGTGTTTAATTTTCCAAAACAAGTTTGTTCCTCACTTGCCTTTAATTCAACTTTCTTTAAAACCAACAGGAAACTCTGTATCCTGTGGAGAATGGTATAATTCCCCTGCTCATCCAGTTCTATATGGAGTCTGTGGCTTTTTTTTCCTTTATAATCCAACCTTGTTTCCCATACATAGTTAAAGACACAGATGCCATAACAATAGGCCGATGTAAAAAACGAAACTCTTCCCATGGTATATATTTAAAAACCTGTCTACATTTTGACTGAAGTCTCCTTAAATAAGAGATGGACTGGATCCCTGGATGTGGGGAAAGGTAAATGGATGCACATGTCAGCTGAGATCATTTCCTGCTCCTTCCAACGACAGGGAGCCTTTGTACAGAACATACACACAATCCTGCCGACATTAAAAACCCATTACGTCTCACTGCCTCCATGAGGATTTTTTTTTTTGAAGCGCGTGACTGTGGGTGATTGTCAAAACAATCAGGTAAAATGTTAATTAAAGACATTTAAACTAAAAGTCAGAAAGAAATTAAAAGCAGAAGGTTGAGAATTGGTTGAAGGAGAACAGCAAACAGAACTATTTTTAGAAAACTGTATGTATACTGTATACAGTACTGCCATTACGAACAGAGTTTTTGTTTGTCGTTTCTCTGAGAATATCATTACAAGTGCAATGTAACATGAATGGTTCATGCACTTCCCACTTCCCTAACCCATTCTTTGTAGTCCTCGTCTTTTGAACGTTGATAACATTTTAAACATTATAAAATCGTAGTATTATTATTTATTTATTTATTATTTATGTATTTAATTTGTAGTATAACAACCTACCAATGAAAACACCTTCACCCACTTGAAAAAATAAAATAAAAAGAATTGTCAAAAAACCAAGAAAAAATATGCTCATGCATAGAAATGTATTCTAAAAAAACTGAAATAATTAATATATATATTTTTTACAAACTTCACTGCCAAACGTTAAGCCTAAACATTGAAAATAGTAGCCTTCTGCTGTCATATAACGTTCAACCACACAGTTTGGGTTTTTATTGTAAAATGTAGAGTCTCTATTAAAAGCTTAGGAATATTTGAAAATAATTACAAACCACACGAAGGTATGATGGACGACGGGCCTTGTAATGGAACCACAATTGTGGCTGAAAGTCTGTAGTTTCTGAGAAATTCAACCTCTATGTTGGAACTTTGACTGAGTTTTGAAAACCGATGGCTCTGAGGAATCCCACACCACGCAGTTCAGACGTCACATGACGTTTTGTCATCTGGTGAGGAGACTCACTGAGAGACCTTTACTGGTGAATTAAGAGCTGTAAACCTATTGAACGACTGATGACTGAACTGTCGGTTCATTGATGTTAAAAAGTGACTTCCTGTTTTGCAGGTAAATCGTCATCCTAACAGCAACAGTGACTCCTACCAGGAACGTTTGTCACGGCTGGAGGGAGACAAGGAGTCGCTCGTTCTGCAGGTGTGTTAAGCCACTCTTCTGTTAATGAATATATATAGTTTGTTATATTAAAAAATTGTCAAAGACAAAAACAAGGGAACTCTGTTTAACACAGTTCAAACAGACACGAGGCTCCAGCAGGAGTGAGGATTGATAGCAGTCTGCTGCCTGTAAAATTAGAACTAGATCATTTTTCAGCCAGAGCAAAGAAACAAGGATCCAGAGGTCAAAGGGCAAAGATACTGTCGATCACAGCATTGTGTTGTAAAGGTTGTGTAACTGTGTCGACGGGTGAGGCAGAGTAAGGACGGAGCTGGTGCTGTTTCAACACCTTTGAGTGTCTTTTGCGTGACGTGTTCGACAGGTACATATGAGTGTGTGTGTGCGTAGGTGTGTGTATTGGCCTCAGGACTGTTGAACAAGTGCACGTCTCAGCCAGCTTGAGGCTAGCACTGCCATGCGTCATGGCATGTAGGTGTGAGCGTGAGCAGGTGCCACGGTTGTTCTGAAAAAATCTGCTCCAGTTGGCACGGTGGCCCCGACATCTAACGGGTGATTAGTGATCAGGTTGTTTTTTTCTTTCATGTTTTTTATTCATTATTAATGCTGACAGCCCTGGAGCCAAGGCTGTGTCTCAAGCACAATGGCTCCTTCAGTTCTCAGTAAATTAAATATTTGTTTAGTCTGGCACAGAAGCAGACCTTAATCAAACAACTGGAAAAGATGTTAAAGTCCAGGGTTTGTCCTAATGGGAGATAATCAAATAACAATGGAGAGAAGTCAGACTTCTTTGTATTTTTTTTAGCTTTCTGTTGCATTTTGTCCTTGTTCTAAGTCCAATCACAGAGCAATCAGCACGTAAATGTTATTTTAGTTATGTATGTCAACTGAACTGCCCTGTAAAAAGTCCAGCAGGAACTCTACCTGTGGCAAAAGGACATTTGGTCAAAATGGAACAGAAACTGAAAGTGAGTTAAAAAAATTTTGTTTAGAGGAAAATAAAGGGTAAAGGTAAAAGATGATGATGATAAAAAGTGTTACATTTACCCAGAGGTTCTGGTGTCAAACAATCTGAACTTTTATTCATCTGTTCAGTCAGCTACTATTAGAGACACTCTACCATATACCACACAGTAAACTAAAGAATACTCGATGATTACCAGTTAAGGACATTTCTGTTTTACATTTACTCTCTGTGTCTGAATACTCGATGATTACCAGTTAAGGACATGTTTTACATTTACTCTCTGTGTCTGGTAAAAACAGGTGAGTGTGCTGACAGACCAGGTGGAAGCTCAAGGCTCCAAAATCAGTGACCTGGAAAGTTCCCTGGTGGAGTATCAGCAGAAACTCAACAGCACAGAGGAGATGCTGCAGCAGGTACACAGTTTTACTTCGATCGTCACGCTGTAATGTATTGAACAGGGTATATCTCCGAACCAACCTGTTGGATTGAATTCAGGAAACTCTGACTCTCTACCGTCCACAACATCAAGGGCTGTCATTTCATTGTTGTTCGTAGGGTTTTTGATGATTTATCTAAGCTCTCTGCAAGTCTGCAGTATGGGACGGCTCCTGCGTCCTGGGAAGAAATTCCTCACTTAAATTCCAGTGCATCTGGCTCCACGTACCCTTGGCAACCCAGATATTAAAGATACTCATAACGTCAACAACGTTCCAGCGCAACGTCTGTTGGAGACAGTGCCTTGTTTTTTTTTTTCCAGAGCCAGACTGGTCTGTCTAGGCAGGTGATTACAACATAACAGGACACGCCCCCTCGCAACCTGTGACTGAAGTCAGTGAGTGTCTGAGTACACAAAGAAGAGAGACAGATCAGGAAAGATTAAGCAAGAGAGGGAGAGAGAGAGGGAGAGAGAGAGGGAGAGAGAGGTGGAGAGAGGTGGAGAGATGGGAGGGAGGAATGATAGGGGTGGTACTAGTTTTATGAGAACTCAGGGATGATTATCTACAACTTTCAGTTCAGTTGCTCTTGACTTCAAATGGACAGAGATTTAGCCGAGCGGCCGTGAGGAGCCTCAATCAAAAGGGATTTCAGAAACAGTGACCATTGTTAGAAAACCAATGCATCACAGTGCAAAAGATGTCGGTTTGAAGACACCCTCGAGTGGACACTGCAGTAAGATGAACCAGGTATTACACTGAACATTTGAGCTCCTCGTATGATGTGAATTTCACAGAGTGCCAGTTCTGAAAAATGTCAAAATGCTCTATAATTAGTCTGATTTGTTGTAAAGGCTCAGTCTTCTGCCCAGCTCTACTGTACGTGTGCAGTGAATGGAAGGCCAGGCAGGACTGGTTTCTCAGAGACGTGGTCATTATGAGGCTTTGGACGTGAGCCGTAAATCTCTTCCCGGTGACAAAGCTCTAATATTTTCCATGTGCAGGCTGGGAAAAGCCCAGATATTTTTCCAAAGCCAGACTTTTAAACGGACTTCTCCACGTGTACCCTTAGCCTTCCTCGCATGCTCATTTCTGGACTTTAAGTGATTTAGCACCTGCTTGACATCAACCAAATTAGTCATACATCTGCCGGCAGTGCCAGGGTTACGAGACTTAACGCTGACAGCCACTAAAAAGCAACAGTAGCAGGAGGTGGCGGTGCAGCGGCGCTCTACACCTGCCTCCACGCCAGGTCTGAGTGGCGCACGGTTCACACCCGGTCAGGAGAATGCACCTGTCGCAGTTATTTTGATGTTCTTTGTATGGATGTTTTGCATGCTTCTGGCACCTCCCCTCCACTCCCCTCCCTCACCCACACCCACCCCCACCCCCTCTGCTGTGTACTTTGACTGAGCTGTGAAATAGGCATTATAAATAGTGGTCATGGGTTGTGTATATTTAGCCACTCAAACAGAGTCTGAAACCAGTGGGTTTGTCTGAGGAGAGCGTCACTACAGAGCTGCTGGTGGACCCTGCCTCATATTTAATGTTGTCTTTGTCCAGTAAGTACTGTCTCTACGGGGACTTTGAAGGAATAAGGTGTGTGTGTGTGTGTGTGTGTGTGTGTGTATACGTCTTGACATGTGGTTTTTTTTTTACTCTCGCTCTGTGCTGTCGCTGACAGGAACTCCTGCATAGGACGTCACTGGAGGGTCAGAAGCTGAGTCTTATGGGGGAGGTGTCCTACCTGAAACTCAAACTGGCCGACATGGAGGGAAAACAGCAGAGCAACGGAGCCGAACGACAGCACAAAGCAGAGGTATGACTCTGCTGATTTATGAAGCCAGACGTCTGTCAGAGTGAATGTACACAGGAGTTGGTTTAACACCTAGGTTACAGCGAGGTTTAGGCTTGATTTGATCCAGCCTCATTCAAATCATGGCTCGGGGGCTAATCTTCGCACTAATATGGGTTGTTCGTGGCCCATGTGGAATGTTGACTGAGTTTAGGATCAATCTGTTTCACAATAAAATGTAGATTATTTATATTTTATTTGTAATTTGTAGCAGCAATGTTGGCTTTTTTTCCTGGACTCACTATATCTGGAGTCTTCTTTAGATGCTGTGGTTTTGGTTGTTTTCATAGTAACATTTTAGCTTTCAGCAGTAACAGTACTTTTTGTGACAACATTGTGGAATAAATGAGGATCACATTTTTTCCACTTTTTCTCGTGTTATCTGATGTTTTATAATATGCATTAAATATGAGAGAAGCTGTTGCTAAATAGATGAATCAAATGGAATTAGGTTACAGATTTAAAAAATGAATGTAGGCAGTTTTTAATGCAGTGTCATGGGTAGACTCGCTGTATCACAGAAGGAGCAGTTTGTCCTCAGGCAAATTATATTAACCTCACCCTAAAAAAGTGATTTATCTGCTTTCATGTTCTATGATGTAACCCATGGCTTTATTCATACTCGTTTGTTTTTCTCCGATGACTGAATGTAACTTCTGCAACACTTCAATCCCTGGAAATTTAAATCAACTCTGCAGGAATGATGAGGGCAAACACAAAAATGTCCTGATGGATCTAACCTTGAAGTCAGCTGCTGATTTTATGGACGACCGTAAACACTTTTCTGGAAGGATATAGGGGAACAGTCACCAAAAAGTCCTGACTGTGTTGTTTCTGGACAAAGTCTACAGGAAAAAAAATGCTCCAGTGGGTTTAATTTTTTTTTCCCCCTAGTTTATACCAAATCATGTGTTTGCTTAAGACTCACGCGCTGGGCTGCCAGCGGACATCCTAGGCATTTAGTGAAGGGGAAAAGGTGCAGTTTAATGTGACGGGATACTGCAGTGTGTAGTTACTGTAAAAATATTACCAGTCAAAGAGTCTTTGTGTCCACAGGTTGAGACAGTTGAGGTAGAGTCTGTGTTGCGTGCAGGATGTAATGCAGAGAAGTGTGTTTATAGTGGAGATAGGACGTTAGCTGATTATGCTAAACAAAAAAATCAACTTTACATTTGACTAATATTTGACTCACAAAGTCAGAAGTTATTTAAGCAGGAAAAAAAACTGCTGCAGTTGTTCTTACTCTCGTCTCCCTTCACTCTGTGTACACACCCGACTGTCTCCTCAACAGCTGTTTGGACTTAAAAAGAAAAGGGGGAAAAATCTGCTTTCTCTGGTTAAGTGGCCTCCCACGTGCTTTATCTACTATATAAACATGTCTGCACATATGCACACGCACATGCGAGCCTCCGAGCCGTGGAGCCAGAGTAAGCTGCTGGTTAAATTTAGCCAGGGAGGCACTTCATATCATCTGTCATATCCGCCGCACCAGATCCCGAGGGAGACTTCCTGTGTCCGCAGTCCGAGCATAACTTGGCTGTTGTTTACCCCCGCCCCCCCTCTAAAGAAACACATGTTACAGATCACCTCAGAAAACATGACAAATCTTTCACCTAGTTTGCAGTTCAGGAATGCAAATTTGTCACCCGGACAATAAGATATTAGCCAATGTTTCAAAGTCACACGCACACTCACACAAACAGGCTTTCAGTTCAGTTTGGATTCAAATCAGCAACAATGACTTGCGCCATAAGCAGCAACAAACAATGACGAAAAAACAAAGATGAGAAAACAAAGACTGATATGAAAACACGAAAAACTGAGAAGTAATAAAAACGGTATCAGAGGCATCGGCACGCATTTTATTTTCCCTTTTTCTATCCAAAACTATTTAATTAAAGCAGAATGTCTCTAGAATTCATCATTTTAAGGCAACAGGAAATTGGATTTGGATTAGATTAGTTTTTGGCCATTTTTCCCTCTTTTCTTTTCATGCCTTCTCACTTCAAATTTAGTCAGTTGTATATTTACAAATATTTCATGATTTGCTACATGTTTTACTGCAAACTTCACATAAGATTCATAAAAATACTGCCATTAAATCATTGCATTTTCTTCATGTTGGTGGTCTATTACACCACTAACAACGATGAAACTGACCAGGTCAGAGCTGCTTCCATATACTAGATGTATACAGTATTGCAGTATTTGGAGTATACCACAAAGGATATGTGTTGGGTTTTGGTGCACTGAGCTCTAAATGTTAAAAGTCAGGTTATCCAGAAAAGAAGTCTTCAAAAAAAAAAAAAAAAAAACTGCCCAAAATATCGTTGAAGAATACACCTTCAGTACAGCTACCCCCTTTTCTCTCCCCTAACACTTCTCTCAATTATCTCTCCCCCCACTGCGTCTGTCAGACCGTGGTTAATTTCATTAGTGAACTGCAGGAGCAGATGTGTAGGTTTCAGGAGGAGATCAATAGCAAGATCCAGGGGAAACAGGCCTCCGAGGTGCCGCCTGACGGCAGCTCCTCTGCAGTCGGCTGCCCTGAACCCACAGAGGATCAGCTGCCCTCCAAACCTGGACCATCCTGTGACAGAACCTCGGCGGTTTGTCTCGAAGGAGCTCAAGATGGTCCTAATGGAAGCACAGACGTCCTGGAGGAGGGCAGCTCAGAGGCAGAGCAGCAGCTCCACGGTGTAGGCACCGCGCTGCCAGCATGACTTTAATGCTGTGTTTGGAGTGGGGGTGTTTTTGCATTTTCACTCAGCATCGGTGTGACACAACTAATGCCGACAAATGTATTTCATGTGATTGGGTGTTGTGTGCTACGACAGAACAATGTTCAAACTAAAACACGTCACGTTGTGATTTAATCCTGTTATTGGACTGAGGGAGTGTTTGGTATTTTAACAGTAAACAGTCTAATCTCTGAGGTGGGGTCACGTTAGGTCGACGTACCACTGATGGTCAGCCGTTACGTAAGGTAAAAGGTTGTGCTTGCAGTTTGATAAAAATGCTAATGATGATAATATGATAATAGCCAATAGCTTCCTATTCCTACAAGTTTTATGTCTTTGAAATTGCATCTTGTATTAGCATCAATGTCTAAATGCAGTAAATCTCTCATTAAAAGTTACCTACTGATGCATGGTTGTTGTTTTTTTCTACAAAACAATCGTACAGGTTTTACTGAAGGAGCTCCGTATTCTAAAGGAGAAAGTGGAACATCTGGAGGAGCAGAAGCTGCAGTACGAGAAGAAACTAAAAGCAACAAAGGTAAAGTGAACTTCTGATTTTCACGCAGACTAGACTTAGACTGAAACACTCCACAGTTGCCCAAATTCCACTAACAACTGTCCACTCAACTTTCCTTAATGCTGTCCAATCTGATGTTCCAGCCAATAAAGTGAGTCATTTCCCTCTGTGCACACTCTCAATCATTCCGTGACACCTACTGTGTGTTTTCTTAAGAAGCCTGAGAGCCATTATTACACTTTCTATAGTCAAGAACCATATAAATACAGTCACAATGGCCCAGTCCTTGGATCGAACTTGTGTGAGTTGTCATAACTTTGAAAAATGACCCCAATCCAACTCTTCTCGATGAAATTATATTTTCTCCCTGTGCCTTTTTATTAAAATAAAAAAGTTTTTATTACACAAAACTGCATTATACGCTGCCTTGTCCGATGTCAGCTGTAATAGACTTCAGGATTAAACATTAGAAGCTGAATAATGGAGTGATCCACATGCCTGACTGGTTTTGGTTTTCAGAGGCAGTCGACCCTGTGAGATGTCCAGTACAGTGGGAAACTAAAAAAACTTTTTTGAAAATATCCATAAAACTCTATGATTGAAAAAAATCTAGATTGAGAGTCTTCTATTTCTGTCCAGATGCTGTGTTGTAATGTTGTCCGCCAATCGATTCTGTTTAGCCTGCTTGCTAATGTCAAACAGGCTAATGTGCGGTTATGTGATCCACATTTGTGGTATTTTATTCATCTTTAGTCTTAATCTGATATTTGAATGAAATGTGGAGCTTGCTTGCTAACAGCAAAACATCCAACAAACAATCCTGGTCTTTCTTGAATGTAATCCAAAGTGAAGGTGGATGTTTGACCCCTGATCAGAGTGGCCCTTCCATGTACTGGAATGGGAACTCAACCTTTGAATCCAAACAATTATCCGATTCTGTTTAGCCTGCTTGCTAATGTGCGGTTATGTGTGGGCAGATCCACATTTTGTGTCATTTTATTCATCTTTAGTCTTAATCTGATATTTGAATAAAATGTGGAGCTTGCTTGCTAACAGCAAAACATCCAACAAACAATCCTGGTCTTTCTTGAATGTAATCCAAAGTGAAGGTGGATGTTTGACCCCTGATCAGAGTGGCCCTTCCATGTACTGGAATGGGAACTCAACCTTTGAATCCAAACAATTATTACTGTGTCATGGCTGATAGTCCAGATAAGCCCCTCCCACTGTAGTTCATATCATACACACGCATTGTGGAAATGTGACCACGCATACTGTTCATCACAAAACTTTGTCAAACATCAATGGAGAAGAAATAATGTTTCAAAAACTCCCCCAAAAAATTGATAATTTTCTTCTTGCATTCCTGAATTTTTGTTTTGTTTTTTGTGCAGCGTGTGCCTAAAAAAGAGGGGATGAGTTTGAGATCAATATTTGTCTCTCCTTCAACAAACCAGAGAGCTATCCAAAGATGTTTTGGTGTGTGCTGCATCAAATTTGGCTGTGTATTTTTACTCTAGTTTCTAGTTTGGAAACCCACTGGTATATTCCTCTGCCTGGCGTTGTGTTTACCACCATCTGTTTTTTTCCATTCGCGACGTACTTCAAAACAAACTATAAACTCTGCAAATTGGGCTACAATTTTGGTGCGCTAAAGACCCGGGGGAAAAGCTGCAGGGCTTTGTTGTGGAGTCTTAAATAACAATGGTAGTAGATCTCACACAGACTCAGCCGAGGACGTGTGTGACGGCCCTTTAAATCAGTCGCCTGTCTTTCAACTCTCGTGTTTGTGAATGTGAAAGTGCTTTTGGCAGTGCGTGTTCAAACAGATGTGTTGGCGAACGCACTGCAGCGCTGTGCGTGTGTGTGTGAGACCCGTGTGTCGTGACTTCTCCATGTGTGACACCTACAGGCAGAGATCATCGGCCTTCAGCAGCTTCTGCTCACCAAGAACGCAGAGATCGAGAGCCTGCACACACAGCTGTTGACCAGACCCTGTCTGTCCACCGAGAGCTCGGAGAGAGGTAAGCACAGCTAACATCAGCCCAGTGTTTTTTAACCTTGGGGTCATGACCCCACATGCGCTCACCTGGAACTCAAATGGGGTCGCCTGAAATGTCAACTAATCATTATTCTGTAACACCACACACAATATTCAACAACTGGATTCTTTCGATGTCATGAGTTGATATGAGATGCTGCAGGATAATAAAATGTCACTCATCTGCGTCTCTATATCAGCACAACAATATAACAAACCTGATCAAAATCTAATTCTAGAAAAACAAATGTCTCTGGGGTTGCCAGAAATCCATGATGTCAAAATGGGGTCATGAAACAACGGCACCAGCCTGTCCCCAAGAGAGTTACCTGATGGGTGACTCTGCTGATAACTCCTGTTTGAACCCATTCATTTGAGGTTAACGCTGTGGGAAAGTTCAACCTGTCTTATCATGCATCTCTCTCTCTCTCTCTCCCTTTCATTTCATGCCTCTCTCTCTCAGATGAGATTTACAGAAGGAGGCTTGGTGCCAAACGTAAGCCTGAAGTGTCTTGGCCATGGCTGACTGTGTTTACGTCTGTTTTCTCTTCCATGGATGACTGTCTTTATTCTATTATCTGTTATTTCCTGCTGGTGTCGGGAAACAGATGTGACTCCTACTGTTGGGTTTCCATACTATTGATGAGCTGTCTTTTTGTCTTTGTGGATTACAGTCCTTTTTGTACTCAATTGTGGCTGTCACAGATAAACACTTCTGGGACACTTGCTTAATTGAATCAATGTCACTCGCAAGCGGGACTGCTTCTGTTGGCGTCAAAAAGTTCAACTTGGTTTCTATGCTTATGTGTCAGGCTGACAGAGTTTGATTCTACTGGGTCACATTTTACTGCTTAGTACCAAAACCTTCAGGAGACCAAAGGCCTCTCTGTGAAAAACATCGTCTGAAGATTTAGGGACTATGGTTTTGAAGCAGTCCTCTAACTGGAGGTAGTTTGTGGGTGCAGACCCTTTAGCTAACCTCTGGGCCGGCCCCAGCAGCAGTGCTGTTCAGTAGGTAGATGGCAACACCTGTGGTGTAAAGTGCCCTGATAAAATACAGAGCTTTTCATCCCAAGAATCGACGTCTTAACTAGTGGTGTTAAACTCGCGGGCCGCAGGCCACTTCCAGCCCAAAGACCCCTCACGTCTGGCTCCTGACTAGATGTTAACAAACATTTTGCATTTGAGGTTTATTTTGTAGAATTAATTTTTTAAATTTTTAATTGCTCGTCTGGCTCCTGACTAGATGTTAACAATAATTATGAGGTTTATTTTGTAGAGTTTATTTTTAATTGCTATTTTTTTCAATGATTTCAATGCTTTGGTCAGTTATTTAAGAAAGAGAGTTTGCTCCATAGCATTATACAGTACTTCTACAGCACAAAAATACTTTGGGTGTTCTTTGTATTGAACATCCTCTAATGAAACGGTGGTGACAGCGGTGGCCCCCAGCTGTGTTTCCTGTATTTCCACTACTGTCACAGTCTGGTGAGGATCATAGAAATGAGCTCTGTGCCTGGTAGACCAGTTACCATCACATTCCCATCGTCTACAGTTCATTATGCTCACTTGCTCAGACCAGTCCACATTAAAACTCAACTTCCTCTGTTATTGCCTGTTAGCCTGGAAGTCGCTCCGGTAACCGCTGTTGCTGGAGCACTCACTTTGACAGACACACAAAGAATATGTGTCTGTCTTGTCACAGGAAAGATTTGTAAAAAATACTTTGGTTTACCATCGGCCATTAGCTACACGTACTGCAGACATCTGACTAAAACATCTGGTTTACAGCTAAGACTTTCCACTTGTGCTGGCACTGTTGTCCAACAGCAGAGCAGCTCCTAGAACCGATGCAGTCGGTCTGTGCAACCGTGGTCTGAAAGAGTAAAAGTATTTCACGGTATTGTTTACTGACTGTACCTGAAGGACATATGTTTCCAGTCTGACGTGACCTACAGTAGTAATGCACTTCCAGATGATGGAACAGTGCAGTTCAGTAGAGGTAGTTACTAAAACATTTCGCTCCTACAGACACAATAAAGTCATACACTATTTCTGTGAGCAGTATTACTGGGCTTCAGATAGATTTTCTGTTTACTCCTAAAATACCTCAGAAGGTAGACTTCAGCAGGTGGACAGTCTGAGGTTTGGGTTGGGTTGGGTTGGCAGAATGGGCTGCAAAGAATCTGAAACTCTGTTGCTCGAGCGTGGTGTTTGTCAAGGTCATTTGAAGAAGCCTTTGAAATAGGAGAGTCCGGTTGAAGTAAAGTGACGGAGTATTTAGGAACAGCTAATATGACAGACAGACCCTGACAGGGACCCTGACCCTGACCTTTTTCCAAATTCAACCTCGTTTCTTAAATGTCTACAACATGTTCCATATAAATTACCCTTTTTTGACCTGATCCTACAGTGTCTCCATATAAATTACCCTTTTTTGACCTGACCCTACAGGGCCAAATATTTATATTTATCTCATCACATCTGTGGGACATCAGACCCCAAGCTCGGGAACCATTGCATTAGGGGCTGCTTTTTGTCTTTCTCACTTTCTAAAACGTGTGTGTTTCTGAACAACTCGTGATCCAATGACCTGAGCAGCTGTTAATAGACCGTGTTGGTTTTCCTCTTTATAGACCAGGAACTGCAGAGGCTGAGACTTGGAATGAAGACTCTGCTCGCAGCCAACAGTGAAAAGGTAAGTTGCCAGAAAAAACTGGACAACTCATCCGTTCTGTTTGTGGTCAGTGCAGCTGTGATGAACCAATGTGAGGTGCTTTACTGGGTGTGTAGAAGGGCGACCATCAGAGCAGTTAGGAAGGTTTGAAGGTAACTGTTTTTAGATATTGTCATTTCTCAGAGTCACCCCCGCTCCCCCTTCATTTATAGCACAGAGGGCCTATTGTCTTCTCCCTCCCAGAGTGTACCAGACTTTAAAGACTTACAGACACAGCTCTCCATGTAGAGCATGGCTAGAGAGAACACACACACACACGCCCCAAGGCGAGCCATTTCAGGCAAAGCCACACTGGAGTAGGCCCGATCTGCCAGGCCTAATTTTGGACTGAGCTACATTAAGAGAACCATAGCAAAACCAGGCATGGGCACCACTTCAAAAAACACAGACTGAACGCAGCTGCGTACCACAACTGAGATTCCCAGCCCAGGCCTGGGTCGATCCCCTCCCTGTCCACGGCTTTGATGTAAAGGCCATATGATGAGAGACGGCTGTTTCTGTGATGTCTGTTGGTCAGTGGTACAGAGAAGCAGATAGATAAACATCATCATTTACTTTACTGAACCTTGGACCTGCTTTAATACTGTTTGTGCAGGACCGAAGGATTGAAGAACTGACTCTGCTCCTAAACCAGTGCAGACAATTCCGAGAGGTCGCTCAATCCACGAGGCTAGGTAACCAGATAACATAATCGTCTGAGCTTTGGCTGAAGTTTTTCTATTGTTTTTGTAAGCCTTAAAAATGGCCCATCTTTTTACAAGACAGAATGTGCTTTATTTGTTTTTTCTACTCTAGCACCCTCTGCTGGCCGTTCACTACCGAATGGGAGAACCCCTTCAAGTAGCAGTGAGGAAGAAGAGCAGAGTTTGCACAAAAGTAATGATTCGGGGAGTGCAAATTCTGAGGATCAGAAATCTGAGGTGAGTCACAGATGAAGTGGTCCTGGTCCTGGAAGATACCAGGTGATTTAATCTGGTATTGTTAAGAAAGTAAAATATCTCCAAAGTAAAGAAAATATGTATTGTTAAGAAAGTAAAATATCTCCATCAACAATCGTTGAACTTTCTAATGAATGGGTTTTTATTCAATCTGGATTGAACTGCGTGACTAATGGGACCAAGTGTGAACAGGCCAAGATTGTCTGTTGGACTTGTTTGTTTTCAAAGCAGCTCATGGTAAAATAAACTACTGAGTGAACAAATCCAAACAAGGTCCAAACTGGAGAAGTGCTTTTTTAATTCCATTTACAATCTCTGCATAAAAAACGATCTGTTCTAAATCGGTTTCACCATGAAAGTGACGGTGATGGTTCACCTTTTCCAGGTTTCCACAATCAGCTCTTCGTCCCATCAAGCATCTGTTGGATCAGGTCACAAAGACACCGACTACAGGTACAGGAACAGAACTGTTTGTTGTTTTTTTTTTTACTTTCTCTTTCCTGTATTTCTCTGACATATTGGTTCCTTTGACTTTTCAGAGGAGACTCGCAGACACTGTCCAGTAGTCTGAGTGACTTAACAAACGGACCTTTGACAAAGGTATGTTTTATTTACCGAGCAAAATCCAATCTTCCCACAGATGTACGACTTTTCCTTGACCGTGAAATGACCCAGACTGCAGGCAGCACACGTTAAAAATATGTGGGGAAAAAAAGTCAAAAATCTTTACAAACTTTGGTGGAGAGAAGAAAATCACATCAAAGAACAGAGAATTTCTAATGATCAACTTCCTCCTGCTTCTCAAATGTGACGTGTTTTTACTAAATATGATGGCAACTGACTTTTCACTGAAGAAAAAAACAGATTTAAATAGAAGACCATAATAGAAGAATGTCCTGATTGTAATTTTTCATTTGCAATATGCAGAGAAATGTAATGATACTAAATTGTTTTTCATTGTTTTTTTTGTTTCTGTAGAACGGTCTCAGTGGCATGAAAAGTCAGACGATGCCTGTCAAGTCCTCACTGTCTGAGCAAAGTGAATTTGCAGAGAGCAGCAGCAGCAGTGAAGCCCAGAGTCAGAAATCTCCAGATGGGAGTGAAGATGGAGACTCCAGTCAAAGTACGCTCATTTCCACTCAGCTTCATTTAGACTGTGATATTTATAAACTAACTGCCCATCTGTGGAAATAACACCAAATACAGAAGCAGACTCTTTTTTTAGGGGAGTAATCATGAAGGTAGTCATTTCCACGAGCAGAAACACATTTGAACCGGCACACTCCAACCTGACCGGCCGTCCGTCACATCTTTGATCATGACTAATTGCAGACTCTCCTGATGCAGCAGCTGGATCTCAGGATAGACTTTCTCACCAAACACACCACACACACACACACACACACACACATGCCATTTCTCTGATTGACCACGCTCACCTCAGCTCCACCCTTCCCCTGGCGTCAGCGGCCAGGTCTAACTCCAGCTCCACCCTGATTTCTTGGCATTATCTGAGAGCTGGTGTTGCTGAGTGAGGCCCAAATGACATTTATCACAACTGGAGCGTTTCAGCTCAGAGCTGTTCTTTTTATGGCACATTAACTGATGAATGATTTGCTGAACTCAGTGGTCTGTGATTTCTGCTCTCTCTCTCTCTCTCTCTCTCTCTCTCTCTCTGTCTCCTGAATGGAGCATAAATATACAGATGCCACGTAGCTGCTCACGCACGAAAGTCTGGTAGAACTAGAAATACATTTTTGAAAGATCTAGACTAAAACTCCATGTCCTCCTGGTGCTGCTGGGAAGATACTTTTTTTTTTACTTTGTCCTCTTTTCCATGAATTGTTCGGTGAATCCTCAAGTGCGTGTTGTGAAAACAGTGTCAGGCGGAGGCACGGTGTGGACTGTTATGTGGGTGAAGGGTGTGTTTTTGAGTACGATAAAATGAGCAGAATGTGCAGGCCGGAAAATTCAATGCAAATGGTTTGAAGATGAGATTCCTGCAGGAACCCAGTATGAATTTTCCTTATTCTGTCAATGCCACAGTGACAAGAACAGAACAATAAATACTCTTCCAATAGGGGGCAGCATGTGGCTATAAAACTGAAAAAAGAGCTTTCTTCAATTCCTGCAAGTATATTAGGATTGTGTTCAACTAAACAGGCCCAAGTTTTACAAATAAATAAATAATAAATAATGTTAATACTTCCACTTTCCACTTCATCTGTTTTCCCAGGGTCTGTGGTTTTCTGACTGTAACATGTAGAAAACGTCAGCAGATAAATTAAACAAAAATGAGGTTCTGATAACGGACCTTGGTACCGTGGCTTTAATGTGCTGATTATTGAGGTTTCCTGGATTAAGGCTGCAGATGTGGACAAAGTAGCATTTAATAAAAAATGCTTGTTTCACAACTTTGTCTGCAGAAATTACGAGACATTTACTGCCCTTCACTCTAGCATTACATTTTTCATATTTCACTACATTACATCGATTTGTTTTTCTAACCTCTCAAAGGAAAGTCAGAGAGAGCTGATGACAGCACTTCAAGCAACAATTCCCCCATTCATTCAGGAGCAGCTCCACAGACCGGCCAACGAGTGGTGGGCTCACCAGAATACATGAAGAATAACAGGAGCTTCAAGAGACTCTGGGGGAAGTGAGTGGGGGCCAACACTTCAGAACATCAGCATCACGTCACAACAGATTAGTAGAACGGAGAAAAAAGACGGAACAGTGACTTGATGAGCAGACAGTTTTAGAACACACACCCAAATACCACAGTATTGGCAGTTTGAGGTTCTGTTCAGGGTCATTAATACTTTACTGTGATTAACTGTTAGGATTTATTTGATACACTTTGTGAATGTCTACGCAGACTTCGGAGGACCCAGTCTGGAGGACTCCAGTCGGCTGATCCGGATGGAGGTCCTTTTAAAAGAGGTGGTCTGAGAGCCACAGCTGGACCCAGACTGACCAGGACTCCAGAATCTTACGATTCGACGCGGTACAGCTCTGATCATTTTTCTCCCTCTCCGATCTCATGAATTAACTCTTCGAGTGTCTAATCTGTGCCTGTTTTTGTCCTGGCAGTGACATGAATATTCCATTCAGCCAGTGGACCAAGGAGCAGGTGTGTGGCTGGCTGGAGGACTACGGGCTGGGCCACTATGTCAGTCTGAGCAGACAGTGGGTCGAGAGTGGACAAACCCTGCTGTCGGCTTCACCTCAGGAGATCGAAAAGGTCAGACAGACATTTTTTTATGTCCATAATTCTGTAATTTGGATTGTTCATTACTTAATTGCAATTATTTAATCAATCTATCTATCTTTTCGCAGGAGATGGGTGTGAAGAATCCTCTGCACAGGAAAAAGCTGCAGCTGGCCTTGAAAGCCTTCACCACCAAAGTCGTAGAGAAATCTTCAGAGCTGGACCACATCTGGGTCACCAGTAAGACCACTCCACACGCTGCTGTATTTTAACCACACAGATTTTCAAATCTGGAGCACGCTCATGTCTGATGTGTGTCCCTTTCAGGATGGCTGGACGACATCGGTCTGCCTCAGTATAAGGATCAATTCCACGAGGCCCGAGTGGACGGTCGGATGATACAGTACCTCACAGTGGTGAGAATTCAAACCTGCATGGGCTAAAAAACAACAAAACAACAACAACAACAACAACCGTGTTCTATATGTGGAGACTTGAGGATCTAGAGCAGATTTGTTTTTCATCATCCTCTGCTGCTCAGCACCTGAACATCTGTTCTTGCACCGTGCTGTAGCAACACGTCGGAGGAGGTTGTGGTTAAATTATAGTCAGTGACTCAAACGTACAAAATCAGGCCCAGCAGGTCCAGTAGTATCAGGGACTGAAACACACCCAGAAACACTCAACAACAACTGAGGCCGTCTGGCACTGTTTCATACTGCTGTTGATTAGATGAATTTTGTTAATCTTTTAAAAAAAATATTCTAAACCGAACGGGAGAGATCACAAACTCTGCTTTTAAATTTATATAAAACAACTTTCAATTATTTCAACCATTAAAACTATTTACTATTTTTTAATAAAAGTCCAAAGCATTTTTTTCCAGTTCTGTATAAATGGTTACATCAGAAATCTGTGCGTTAGCTTTTATTTCTTTGGTTCCTTCCACAGAATGACCTGTTGACTCTAAAGGTCACCAGCCAGCTGCATCATCTCAGTATCAAATGTGCGATCCACGTCCTCCACGCCAACAAGTTCAACCCTCACTGTCTGAGACGGAGGAGGAGGTGACTCAGGGGCGGCGGGGTCTGACTCTACTGTGTCCGGGTTGGTTTATTTTACACTCGTTCATTCATTTCAACAACGTTTTGATGGGACAATAGTGACGGATGTGTAATCACGTCAGTTGTACACAAGATGGCGCCAGACGGACGTTACAGAATGACAGGAGAGGAATAGTGCTAACTGAGGACTTCTGTTTCGATTATAATTCTCTTCTGATGAATAATTCTGGACTCCTAAATGGTCTTTCTTTGTTCTGCAAATTGTTATAGAAACAGCCAAGTCCATCAGAGGTGGTGCAGTGGTCAAACCACCGTGTTATGGAGTGGCTTCGAGTAGTGGATCTGGCAGAGTACGCTCCTAATCTACGAGGCAGCGGAGTTCACGGGGGTCTAGTTGTAAGTGTACACACTTTTTTAAATTTTTACGAATACTTTTGATTCATCTGTGTAGTATAATAAAACTATCTCAGTACTTCAAAAAACTATAAATATTTTTTCCAAATTCAGACATCATCAAAAAGCCTGAGAACTGTTCAGTAACATGTGCCCTTCTGTGTCTCTTCTTCCTCAGATTTTAGAACCACGCTTCACCTCAGAAACTTTAGCCCTGCTGCTAAATATTCCTCCCCAGAAGACTTTGCTTCGTCGCCATCTGGCCACAGCGTTTTCAGCCCTGGTGGGAACTCAGGCCACGCAGGAGAAGAGGGAGTACGGCAACGCCACAGGCCACGTTCCACTCACAACTACTGCTAAAGTGAAGGTACAAATAAAAACACAAACATCGACCTTCTGTTATTTATCTTTCTGTTCCAACAATACATATAGACAAAATGATGGG